CATCGTAAGCACAGAGTTACAACTTATCAAAGTGACAAGTGAAGGCAATCCCTTTGACTAATTTTCTCTTCAACTCTTCTGGCATCCCTCCTCGCCCCTATTTTTTGTTCTACCCTCTAGCGCCTGATCTCTTTCTCTCAACCCCACTTCCTTTGGAAGGTATGAAGACCAAGATGTTGTGGCCTTTTGTGTGGTCGCAGCCAACATACAAAATACCATCTTCCCTGAAATTTTGTTGAAAAATGGAAAAATCTCTTCATTCCACTTTTTTTTAAAAGAGTGAAATTGCCCTAAAACGGACACGAAAATGGTGTTAACCAAAAAATAGAATTCCATCTAGATCGACAAAAAATGTCTGTATGGGCTTGTAGATTAAATAAAGTTGCAAATAAGAAAATATAATAAAAATAAGCTTGATAGTCTCGCAACCAAATCATTCAGTATATAATATATACATAATGCATTGTCTGCTGATTATGCTCTGATCTAGAATCTAAGTTCAAGCCAGCATAGTAAGATGGTAAAATGCAGAGAAGAGTGAAAATAAAAAAGAGGTTAAACAAGAATCATTCGTACTAAAAGGTAAGAGAAGCGACAAACAAAGAAATGTGGCATTTTGTTATCTTACTATGCTGGCTTGAACTTACGCTCCAGGCCAGAGCATAATCAGCAGACAATGGATTGTATATATATAATATATATATTATATATATTATATACTGAATGATTTGGTTGCGAGGCTATCAAGTTTATTCTTATTATATTTTCTTATTTGCAACTTTTTATTTAATCTACAATCCCGTACAAACATTTTATGTCGATCTAGATGGAATTCTATTTTTCGTTAAAACCATTTTCGTGTCCGTTTTAGGGCAATTCCACTCTTTAAAAAAAGTGAAATGAAGAGATTTTTCCATTCTCTAACCAAATTCCAAGGAAGTTATTAGTTTGTCTGTTAGCTATTTGTAGTTGAGACCCCATATACTTGGCTAAACCATGCTGAATTTTCATCCGTCA